GGCTGCATCCGCTGTCCCGCGCCGGAGCGCTCTCTGCGCTGGGGCATCTTCTCTCTAACTCTCTTCTTTTCCTTCCTCCAATTTTGCCCCTTCACCTTCTTCTCCTTTCTCTCCTCTCCTCTGCCCTTCCTCTCCCTAAGTTTCGAGGACTCCACCTTGTCCACAGCCACTACCCTTGAGTATATCCCCACCTCAGCAGGCGACCCCAAATGCCAGAGGCCCCGCACGCTCATGCGCCAGCAAAGTCTGCAGCAGCCCCTCAGCCAGCACCAACGCGCCAACCACAGCCAGCCCACCACCAGCCAGAGCCTGGGCCACCTCCAGGCCCACAGCGGCTCCTCGGCCGGCGCCAGCAACCCCCGGGGCTCCCGAGGTGGCCAGGCGCGCCAGGGCATCGCTGCCGCGGGTGGGCGGCCGGAGCCGCTCCAATCCTGGCAGCTGGGACCACGTGGTGGGGCAAATCCGCAACCGCGGCTTGGACATGAAGTCCTTCCTGTAAGTGTATGCTCTCTGCTGCGCTCTCTGTTGCTCTCTCCATTGCTCCATTGCTGTCCTTTGCTCTCTCTGTCGCGCTGTCCTCGGTTTTCTCCATTGCTCTCTCCTCTCCTCTGCTCTCTCCTTTGCTCCATTGCACTCTCCAGCGCTCTCCCCTCTCTCCATTGCTCTCTCTGCTCTCTCCTCCACACTCTCCTTTGCGCTATCTGCTCTCTCCATTACTCTCTCCATTACGCTCTCCTTTGCTCCGTTGCTCTCTCCAATGCTTTGTCCTCTGTGCTCTCCTCTCTCTTCTCTCCTTTGCTCTCTTGTCTGCTCTCTCCATTATGCACCCCTTTACTCTCTCCCCTCCTTTCTCCATTGCTCTTCTCTCTCCATCGATCTCTCCATTTCTCTCTCAATTGCTGTCTCCATCACTCTCTCCATCACCTCTCCTCTTCTCTCTCTGCTTCTCTCCACTTCTCTCCCTTCTCTTCATTCCATTGCTCTCTCCTCGTCTCTCTCCTTTGCTCTCTCTCTCTCCTGCCTCTGCTGTCCCATCTGCACTCTCCATCGATTTCTCAGTTTCTTTCTCCTTCACTCTCTCCTTTCTGCATTGCTCTCCTCTGCTTTCTCTGTCACTGTTTCCATCACTCTCTCCATCACTCTCCACTTCACTCTCCTCTGCTCTCTCTGTTACTCTCTTCTCTCCTCTGTGCTCTCTCCTTTGCTGCATTGCTCTCCCCTTTGTTTTATCCTCTGCGCTCTCTTCTTCTCCTCTCTCCCCTCTCTCTCTCCATTACTCTCTCCTCTCTCCTCTGCTCTCTCCTTCATTCTCTCCTCTTGTCTTTCCTCTGCTCTCTCCTCTGCACTCTCCTTTGCTCCATTGCTCTCCTCTCTGCTCTCCCCTTTGTTCTCTCTATTCCTCTCCTCTCCTCTCTCCTCTGCCCTCTCCTCTCCTCTCCTCTCCTCTCCTCTCCTCTCCTCTTTCCATCACTCTCTTCATCGCTCTCTCCATTTCTCTCTCTTCTGCTCTTCCCTGTGGTCTCTCCATCGCTTACCCCATCACAGCCACTCAGCCAGCACCACCGTGGGGAAATGCTGCCCATGGCCAACAGGAAGAACCAGATCCCCTCCAACCCTACCACGGGGGTCAGGGGCAGCTCCCCCAGTCCAGGGGCTCAGGGAAGGGTCTCACGCACTCCCCCCAACTCAATTTGCCCCATGGTTTTGCTGCAGATCACCTGCCACGTCACCGGCTGCCACAGGCGGCCCTGGGGGTGCCCATGTCCCCTGCGGTCCATGGGATGTTCCAGCCCATGGGATGGCCACCAGCGTGGTCCCCAAGGAGTGACATTGCCCCAAGGAGGTGGGGTGGGGGGGCAGCTGTGACAGTGGTGGCCCTCATGCAGGGGTGTCTGTCTGTTCAGCCCCCATATCACTGCCTGTCAGGCTGCCTTCCGCCCCGGCTCAGAGCTGCCAGAGCCCTGTGATCTTTAATCTGGCTTAACCCCATCTCCTCTATCAGCGCCGGCTTGCAAACCTCAAACGCCGAGGACTAATCTGAGTCCCGCGCTGCTGCCATATCTCGGCACATGACATTGTCACTCCCTGCAGAGCCGGTGCCTCCTGCCGCCACCTCCGTCCTCCCTGGGTCCTCCTGGTCCCCCAGGCAGAGGCACCCCCAGCTCCGCCCCCAGCCATGTCCCCCCTCCTCCGCCCAGCGCCATGCCTGTTCTGCCCTCTCCCAGTGAGAGGTTCATCGCCGGCTCCACGTGCTGGCTTCCCGATGTTGAGACGCGGCTCATTAGCCATCCTGAGGGTCACGTTCCTCCATGTTTACCCAGCGCCGGCGCTGGTTCCATCCATAACTGGCAAGGGGGGAGCAGCCGCAGAGCTGAGCCATGTCGAGCCGGTGCACCATTTCCCCGCGGAGGAGCCGCTGCTATTTACCACCACCGCTTTCCGACACCATTAACTTCGCTTTTGCTCTTTATTTTGTTTACCCTCCCACCTGCCGCCCCAGCGCCGTGGCATGAACATGGTTATGGGCCCCAGGGGAGGCTGCGCCAGCGGCACCGCAGAGGGGCAAAGAGCCTCAGCCATGGCACCACCATCTCCTCCTCCAGGGAAGGATGCTGGGACCTTACTCCCTTTGTGCCGTCCCTCGTCCCCAACCCCTCTGGGCGCCTTCTTCCCTCCTTGGCAGGACCTCAGCATCCCGGACAGGTGGAGGCAAGGGTTGGCGGTGGTACCCACGTGTGCCAGCTTCACCAGAGCTGGCACCTTTCTCCCCGCAGCCCTTTGTGCCCATCCCAGTCATGGTCTCCCCCGCAGGGGCCAGC